CTCCTCCTCCCCCTCCCCCCGGCCCCAGTGGTGGCCAGCGTAGAGGGCCGCTAGCTGCCGAAAGCGGGGGCCCCAGCTGCCGAGATAGGAGAAGTCCTGCTCCGAGCTGTGGGAGGTGTGGGAGGTGATGGAGCTGAGGGAGGCCGGAGCGGAGTCGGCCCCTTCGAAGGCGTAGGTCTGGAAAGAGTCATAGGGGGGCACGGAGGGGTCCTCGTCGGCCTGCCCCACCTTCCTGCTGATGTAGTCCCTGAAGAGGGAGAAGTCCAGGTCGGGCGCCGGGCCCCACTGCGGCAGGGCCCGGAGCTCTGAGGAGGGCAGGCCGCCCCCCTCCCCCTCCTCCTTGGTCTCGCCAAAGTCGTAGAGGCTGCGCAGGGCAGACATGTCGTAGGCCTCCGTGTCCTGCTCGCCTCCCCCCTCGTCGTTGTACTTGATGACGTTGTCGCGCATGTCCTCGTCCTCCTCGGACACTAGGTGCCCCTTCTGGTGCCGCTTGAGCGTCAGGATCAGGAGAACCAGCACTGGAGGGAGAGGAAGGCGATGGTCCTCACTGGGTGGGGGGCAGTGGGGGAGTCATCAGGGCTCAGGAGAAGGGGAGGCCCTGCTGCCCAAGCAGAGGGGCTGGGTGAGAAGGGGGGGGTTGAACTCCCTGGCACAAACCGTTGACCCCCTCCTACTGCATGCACTGAGGAGCAGGAGGACATTCAAAAGAGACGGGTTGTTAGCTTCACGGGCACGGAGGCTCCGTTTCGTCGTAGGGGTCTGGCACAGGAACGACACCCTTCTTCCCACAATGCATGGCAGGGAAGTGGGTTTTCCCAGCGCCTTTTATGCTGGTGAAGTGGGCAGTGGGTGGAAGGGCAGAACCATCTTCCCCCACCCCCTTACCCAGGATCATCTTCTGACACAGAGATCTGGCAGGTGGGGGCAACGGGTAGGGAACTCAGGTGCAGCCTTACAGAACCTGGGGGGGTGGGGGGGTGGGGGAGAGTCTAGGGCCACCCCGTGCAGAGCCTAGGGCTCTCCTCACCTTAGCAAGAATGAAGGCAGATCGAGAGCCTGCTTTTTCAGCTCATCATGCATGCGTATGTGCGTCCGCGCATGTGTGTGTGTGCCCCGGATGCCTGCAGGGCCCTCCTATCCCCCATCCCATGACGAAGGCCACGTCCACATGTCTGGGAAGAAAGCGGCAGCCAAGGGAAGAGGATGACAGACGGGGATGGTGGTGGTCTGGATGAGCGGGCACAGAGCAGCCCGGCTGGGCCCTAGCTCAAGTGGGCTGGAGGTCCAGGCGGCCACACCTCGTCCATGACCAGTTAGGCAACAGGTCAGTCCCAACGGGCAAAGGCACTCAGGGGAGAAAAGCCCCAGAAGGAGAAGAAATGTGGGCGCAGAGGGGAGGGGAGAGTCTGGAGGAGGAGGAGGAGGTGGGAAAGAAGGGCCCTGGACAGCCCATGACCTCGCCCTGATGGGGGTCACCAAGCCTGGCCGAGGCTGGGCTGGAGAGCGATGGGCTGCCCTGACGCTGCCCCTAGAAGCCGAGGGCCCCCCCTCTTCTCAGCTCCCAAGCTTTCAGCTGCTGGGGTGGTCCTGGTGCCCCCCCTCCCCAGGGCCATACGGAACGGCTGGGCTGAGCGGTGGGAGGCCAAAGGTTTCTGCCTTGGCAAATGTGCGCATGTGGGTGGGTGTCTGCGCTTGGCGGGAGGGGGATTGAGGTCACTCACCAATGAGGATGAGGACACACACCAGCAAGGCGATGAGGGCGCCCGGGCTGAGCGAGGCGGCCACGACGTAAGCCGTGGTGTTGCAAGACTGGACCGCTCCGGAACTGTCGCAGCCACAGACCCGGATGGTGAGGGTGCCAGTGCTGCTCAGGGTGGGGGGGCCGCTGTCCACCACCAGGATGGGCACCAGGAAGAGGTCCTGCTCCTGCCGGTTGAAAGCCGGGCGCTCCGTGTGCAAGGCCGCTGTGTTGTCTGGAGAGGAAAGAGCGCGAGCACTGCCCTCAGCAGGACCCCGGCCCCATCCCACGGGTCTCCCACATCTGCCAGGCAGCACCCGCCCCCCAACATACACACCTCTTCTGCCCCCTCAGCAGGCGACCCTCCAGACTGGACCGCTCACTCCACCCTGCCCTGTTGGCTCAAGAGGCAGCAGCCATGGTGTCGTCCCTCCGGCAGCCCACCTGGGACCCCTGGTGGGCCCTTCCTCTCCGTCTCCCTCTTCACCCCCAAACTAGCAGGTGCCCCTTGGACGTCAGGAAAGACCAGGGAGCACAACGGCAGCAGCAACAGCAGCGCAGAGAGACTCCGCGTGTGGCTCCCACAGGGGAAGGGAGGCATCCTTCCCTTCTTCCACAGTACTCCCTTCCTCACCCCCCCACCCCCCCACAGTCCTGTGGGCACTTCACTCTCAGGATCTGCAGGGAGCCTCTGCTGTGATGCCCCCCTCCCCTTAGGGAGGCCTTCAGAGACTTCCAGCATCTGCTCCTCGTCTTGCGCGCAGCCTTGGAATCAGGACCCTTCCTCCTCCTCTCTCAGCGACCCTCCAGCCGGCCAAGAGCCCCCCCCCTTCCAAAGGAAACCTAGGGAAGCGGGCACAGCAGCAGCTGAGAGGGGCCTGGCATTATGCAGCAAGGGGGAGAGTGGGGGGGGTTGCCCTGGCGCCCCTCATTTTGGCCCCAGCTCCCTAGCAACTCCTGCCCTTCCCTGCAAGGGAGGATCACGTCAGGACTTTGAAACAGCCATGGCCAGCAGGCACGGGGGGGTGGGGGTGGGGTGGGGTACGAAACAGGCCTGCCCCAAGCCCTCTGGGAGAGGGGCAGCCCTCCCCCTTTTTGTCCCTCTGGCCCCCTTCTGGTTTTCAGGGGTAGGGTGGGTGGCAAGCAGAAGCCGGTGTGCCAAGCAGCCCCCCCACCCCGCCCCACCCCCGCGTGCCTGCCGCCACTTGCTGCGCAGGATATAAAAGGCAAAGATTTAAGGGAGAGCTTCGTGTCTCCTCCATCTGGGCTGGCATCCATCAGCGTCTCGTCTTGGCTCCAACGGCAATATTTATAAATCACATCTCAAAACCGGCTACAAATTTATACAAAGAAACAGATGGGCCGTTGGCGGCACTTTGTCACCCCTCCCGATATTTATAGGGTGCCTGC